TTAATCAGAACTGGCTTTGACAAGCACTGTGGCATTTGGACAAGAACAAACTGGGAGGAGGGTAGAGAGAATATTGCAACAATGAATGAATGGAAACCCAAAATCTCTGTAAATGTTTATGAAAATTAATAAAATACAATTATAGGAAAAAAAAAAAGAGAGGGAGGAAGCCCGGTGCTCCTTAGAGGTAAAGATGGTACAACTTTGTCTCGCATACTTTGGTCCCTGGTGGGAAAAAATCATTCTTGGAAAAGTGGAAGGTCAGCAAAGGAGAGGAAGACCCTCATTGAGATGGATCGATATGGTGACTTTAACACAGTAACTGACAAGGTGACATAGTAGTAGTGTGGCAAAGATGACGATATAGGCTAGGTCAGGGGTTCAGGTGTCTGGTTCATAGGTTTGCTGTTAGTTGTGAACTGGAAGGTATCTTAAAACAGTTATCGCCTTATTAAAAGTTCTAGTAAGTTCTTTAAAAGATAACCAATTTGGGCTCAGAACCTTTCTAAAAGGCAAGGGGTAGGGCAGGTGAAGCCTCAACCTTGAGAGAGAGGGCCAGTAGACCAGTTGCTAATAGTCCTTAGGAATGCAGGGCTGGGGGGTGGGGGGAGGTGAGATGGAGCAGAGCCTGGCTTCCAGCTTTGCTGGTCAGGTATTGCTTTGCTTGGGAGAGAGATCCCAGTCTTCTCCATAGTTCCCTTATGTAAGGGTCGAAGGCCTACTAGCTTAACACTCTTCCTGTTTCTTTGGGTTCCTATGCCTAGTCTTGCGCAGTGGGGTTCTGGGAAGCTTTCAGGGTATGATTCCCGATTCCCTGCCTCTGGGCAGAGAGCAGATTCAAGGACCAGGCCTTATGGCTTCCCTACTTGATGAAAACTAAAGACAGTTGCAATTACCAGTTTTGAAAATCATACGCCAAACACTGTGTTAAGCATTTAAATCTTACTTTGCCTCAGCCTCACAACTCCATTTTGCTAAGGAGCAAGCTGAGGCCTAGATAGTGACTTGCCTACAGTTACACAGCCAGTAAGTTGCCAGGGTGGTACTCGTTCTTATCTTGGTGTGAGCTCCAGAGTTGTGCACCAATATAGGCCTAACCTCATAGGGTATTGCTAGGCACTGTTCTAAGGATTTCAAATGAGATAGTATATTCTCAAATTGTTTTAGATGAGAAAACAGACATAACAAATTGAAGTAACTTGCTCAAGGTTGCACAATAGAGGAACTGGAATTGAACCCAAGCAGACCAGTTCTGGAACCTCCATTTCTTTTCACTACACTATGTTGTCTCTCAAGAGCAAAAATAATATGCATCAAAATCCTTAAAAGAAATTAAAAACAACCCCTCCAAAGAAATTAATAATATTATTTTAGTAGTATAATGTTTTTTAAAAAGACTGCTGCATCCTAAGGAAGGAACAGAAACCATGAGGCCTGCAAGAGTCCCAGCCTGTGTGTGCACGTGAGAGAGGTTAGCAAAACAGACCCGCTTGACCAGGCCTTTGCCCCCTTGCCTCCTCACTGCACACCTGCCACCAAGAGGATATTCATCACTCACTGCCCACCTGTGGTCAGGACTGAAAAGGGGACAATCCAGCCATTTTTCAGTCATTCTTGCATTTATGGAAAATAAAAAATTCAACCCCTCCATAAACCAGCTGCTGCTTCGCCTGCTTCTCCTTTTTGAGTAGAAAAGAAGGGATAAAACATACCTTCCTTGAATGTGTACAATTTATAAGTTACTTCATTTTTCTTCTGTTGTTTTTTTTTTTTAATAATAACCAAAGGAATGAGGCAGACATAGTTTTGGTTTATTTCCCCTTTATCTAGAAGTCACTTCTTAAGAGTTTATGCCCCTGAAGAGTTCATGCCCCTGACTCCTTGGCCCCTAGGAATGTAGGTTAGTACTGACAGGCACTAGGACTGTGGAGATAAAAAGACAGTGTTCTTGTTCCCCAGGAGCTGTGGTTGACTTGTTGATTGTGTGATACCCTGGTGAACGAGCTAAAGAACCTCACAGAAAAGGAGGTGCTAAAAAACCCCCAGAAAATTAAAGGCTAAGAGAGGATGCTGCAAGCAGAAAGCAAAGTAAACATATAAACAGTACAGCATGTTAGAAAAGTATCTCAGAGCTAAACATGAGTGTATAGGTAGAATTGGGAATACAGAGATAAGGTGGTAAAGAATTGATAAGAACCCAGAGCATGAAGGGTTTCGTTTATCCTAGGAAAAATTATTATTTTTATCTTCTATGTTATGAATAGCCTTAAGGAATTTTGGAGAAGTGAATGACATCCTCAGATATGTATGTTGGAAAGGTCAGTGAAACAATAGACATGAGTGAGTGGAGACTAGTTAAGGAAAGGCAATTTAGTACAGTTGTATATACACTAAATGTTGTAACCTCTGTAAGGTGAAACCTGTTGGAGACAGGAAAAGAAAATATTTTTCATTAATACAGAGTGATAGAAAAGCAGGAAAACATCACACTGTCAAAGGCAAAAAACTTGAAAGACATGGGAAAATGATGGTTTCATCTCTCATAGGCTTCGCAGTATAAGAAATATTTTGATAGTAAAAATATTAGACATTGATGACTATCTGAATGTGTGGACAAAGGGAGAGTGAAGAATCTAATAGGGCTCCTGAGCTTTGACGTAGACAACCTATGATGGTCCTATAGACGGAGATAGACTATGAAAAGCTTACTGTTAGAGATGACGATCCTTTGTTCCATAAATATTTTTGAGGAACTGTTTTTATGGCAGGCATTCAGTTATATTTGGAGGTTTTATTGGTTTTAGAACCTTTTCCCACTTAGCCTCACCATAAAATATGGCAGAAAAATACGGAAATAAAATACTTAAAGTTAATATATTTTCATCATAACCTTTTTGTTAGTAATTTTTCCTGACAGTAAACTAGCCTATAAATTTCTATTTCTTGGTCTTTTATTGAAAGGTATTTTCCTCTGGGTTAGAGCTCTTGTTGGATTCTCAGTAGTTAAAGGGTGTGAACTTTTTCAAGAAACTAATAACTTCAGTCAGTGTAGAGGAATCTCTATTCATCTGGTATCTTTTCTTTTTCATTGAGTTATATACCCAGTAAAATGCATAGCTCTTAAATGTTACATTTGGTGAGTTTTGACATATCATGTACCTGTGTAATCACTAGCCAAAACAAGATAGAGGATTTTCATTATTCTAGAAGTTCCCTCCTGATTCCTATCTATCCTGCAGTCTTTTGCATTTTCTAACCATTATACTACTAGCATAATGTTTTGTGACTTTTTTAGCTTCTGTTTTATTTCTTTTAGGAGACTGAAGAGCCAGTGGTAGAATGTCAGGAGTGTGAAACAGAAGTTTCCCCTTCACAGACCGGGGGCTCCTCAGGGGACCTGGGGGATATCAGCTCATTCTCCTCCAAAGCATCCAGCTTACACCGCACATCAAGTGGGAGTCTCTCAGCCATGCACAGCAGTAGCAGCTCAGGGAGAGGAACCGGACCACTCAAAGGGAAAACCAGCGGGACAGAACCCGCAGATTTTGCCTTACCCAGCACTCGAGGCGGCCCAGGAAAACTGAGGTGCAGATGGGGTTTCCAGAGGGAGAGCTACAGCAGGGGCAAGGGTGCTGGCATTATAATATTACAGGAAAGGGGGAGTAATGGAAATCCGCCCCATCTTCTTCCTGTGATAAATCTATTTCTTGTCCTCATTTGTTTTTGTCCTATTTTAGGTTTGCATGGGTGGTAGGGTGGAGCTGTGAGAAGTAGGCTTTATTTGTAAAGAGTCCCTGAGAAAATATGCGAGGCAATGGGACTTTCGGAATGATGTGGGGTTGGGGAGATGCTTCTGCCATCCCCAGATTGTGGCCTGTAGGTGTCTCGGTTGGGAATACAGGATTTTTGGTAGGTGCCCCTCCCATCTGGGTGTTTCCCCTAGTTTTTGTTTTATTGTCCTTGGGTATCTAGATCCTGAAGTATAGAGGAGAAGGTAGGGGAGAAATGGGTGTGTTGATTTTTAGGGCAGCAGTAGCAAGCTTTTTTTAAAGGAATGACTAGGCTCCCTTGCTTGTTAATCCCACACTGCTGAGATTTTGTCCGTGGGGGTATGACCAGCTTCCTGCTGCCCCAGACCAGCACATGTTGGCCTGACATACAGTCTTCTGGCCAAGGGGAGTGTTTGTGAAGGATTCACTAGCAGATACTGTCAGACTAACATGTCTTCATTCTCTAGTCCTAGAAAAGGGGTCAGTCAGACAGGGGCGCCAGTGTGTGAGGAGGATGGTGATGCAGGCCTTGGCATCAGACAGGGAGGGAAGGCTCCAGTCACGCCTCGTGGGCGCGGGCGAAGGGGCCGCCCGCCTTCTCGGACCACTGGAACCAGGTACCCGGGTAGTGTGAGATACATTTAGTCTATGACTTGTTTAGGGGGAAAAGGGTGTAGAGAGAAGAGAGGGTATTAGAAAGTATGTGGGATGTCTAGAGGGAAAAGTGGGGCCCATAATGACTTGGAAGTGGGCAGGGATCAGAGTGAGTCCATGCAAAGACCAGGCTCGTGCCCAGGATGGGATTAGCAAAGAGCAGACAGAGAAATGGGAAAATTGGTATTTCATACATATTTTCTATCTTTGTATTTTCACTACCTGTCCTTCCTTTTCTTTTTCTTCAGAGAAACAGCTGTACCTGGCCCCTTGGGCATAGAAGATATTTCACCCAACATGTCACCAGAGGACAAATCCTTCACTCGTATTGTGCCCCGAGTACCAGACTCCGCTAGACGAGCAGACACAAGTGCTAGTGTTCTGCAACGCAGTGACTCTCCAGAGATTCCTTTTCAGGCTGCTGCTGGCCCCTCAGATGGCTTAGATACTTCCTCTCCAGGGAACAGCTTTGTAGGGCTTCGTGTTGTAGCCAAGTGGTCATCCAATGGCTATTTTTACTCTGGGAAAATCACACGTGATGTTGGAGCTGGGAAGTATAAATTACTCTTTGATGATGGGTACGAGTGTGATGTGTTGGGCAAAGACATTCTCTTGTGTGATCCCATCCCGCTGGATACTGAAGTGACGGCCCTCTCAGAGGATGAGTATTTCAGTGCAGGTAATAAAAAAACCATGGCCTGTGTAGATTTATTGTGCCCTGGGTCAATGTTTGGGTGTTTTGCAGCATCTCTTTATTTTTCTGGGGTTGAAGATGATACTTTAAAAAAATGCTGAATATGCAGAAAACATGGTACATTTGTCTCAACTAGGAAACCAACTATTCGTACCTTGCTATGAACTTCAGACTACTCGAATTTCATGAGTTTTCCATAATTTTTTCTCTTCGAGGATCCACCAGGATATATATCACATTGCATTTGGTCATCATGTCTCTTTGGTCCACTCTGGGCTGTGACAGTTTCTTAGTTTTTTCTTGTTTTTCATGATATAGATAATTTTGAGGAGTACTGGTTATGTATTTTGTAGAATATCAAGATTGTGTTTTATGATTATACTGAGGCTGGAGATTTTTTAAAAAAATGGACACAAGTGAAAGGTTCTTAATTACATCTTTTCAGGGGTATGAGGCATCACTGATGTGGTTCATTTTCATCAGTTGGTTGAGGAAGTGTCTGTGGGTTTCTTTAAAGTTGATATATTTTTTCCTTATTCTGTTCTTTAACTATTAAATTTTAAATGTACCATGTACTTCAACAAGAATCCTGTTGGTAAGAATGGCAGATGGAATTTAGGTGTGAATGCTTAGTATATGTCATGACTAAAGTTCAGTGCCTGTGCATTCACTTATTCTCTATCTTGAAAAATGGTGCCTTTTTTCCTTTGTTAACATTACGTATCTAGTTCTTTGTTTTGTTTTTTTTCTTTCTATAATTATATTTTATTAATTTTCATAAACATTTACAGAGATTTTGGGCTTCGTATCTAGTTCTTTGAGTTGGTGATGGTGAGGGATTTGTATGTAATATTACTACTTCATGCTGCTTTGGATATTCGTTTGCCTTTCTGTGAACCAGTTTGGAGGCAGTGTTTGTATTTAGCTTATCAATGCAATAAACTTCTTTCCTCAGGATTTTTGGAAACATGTATAGGATGGATTTATAATGCTTTCATGTTGAAGCTCCTTCAAATTCTCCTATGATTTAGAATCCTTTCCTTTGAACAGTTTATGTTTGTGCCTGTTAGCTTGTAAAGTGGGCTACTTTACTTTCTAGTTTTTGGCAAATCTATTAGCTGTATCTGGCATCATTTTTGTGTCATCTATGGATGTCATTCTTGGAGATCCTCATTTTGTCCTCTTAAAAACAAAGGCAGACAATTCTGTATCCTGACTGAATCGTGACATCATAGATGGTACTTTATGTCTCATTATTTGAGGCTACAAGCGTCGGTCCGGACTTTTTTTAGTTCTAGCAATCATTTAGTAGTGTGAAGTGTATTGTAGATCTTCGTCTGCTTTTTGTTTTGGAAAAGGTTTTGAGATTAGTTTTGTATCATTAGTTAGTTTTTAGTTCGTTCATCTAGAGGGTAGACAAGCCAAGAGAAAGTTGATTCTGTTGTATAGATGGAAACAGCATGGCCTTTCTTCTATCTTTTATTTAGTGGCTGGGCTCTGTTCATTCCAGCCCTTTATTCTAGGAGGACCTGAGAGAGGAGAATAAAATATGCCTTCCTATTTATGGGAATGATGAAGTGTTCCTACTCACGCCTTGTTGTTATATTCTATACAGTTGTGTTATTAAGTGCTGTCAAGCTAACTGTAGCGCATAGTGACCTTATGAACAGCATATCTGAACCATGTCCTGTCCTGCATCATCCCTACTGCCTCTCATATATACGCCTATTGTTACAGTCACCGTGTCAATCCATCTTGTTGGAGATCTTCCTCTTTCTGTGACCCTCCACTTTTCCCAGCATGGTCTCTTTTCGAAGTTCTAGCCCCTCCTGACAGCATGCCCAAAGTGTGTGAGATGAAGTTTCACTATCCTTGCTTCTAAGGAGCAGCATCTTTGTTGCAGTTCCTTGAGTAGAAATTTGTTTATTCTTTTGGCAGTATATGGGATAGTCAGTGCTTTTCACACCACAATTCAAAAGCATTGAATTTTTTTTTGTCATCCTTATTCAGTGTCCAACTTACACAAAGCAATTGAAAATACCATGGTTTGCTTCAGCTACATTTTTGTCTTTAAATTAACATCGTTGCTTTTCAACGATGTCAACACTTTAGAGAGATATAGCTGACTTTCCCAGTGCAACACATCTTTTCATTTCTTGACTACTTTTACTATGGGTGTTGATTATAGATACAAATAAAATGAAATTGTTGACAATGTCAGTTTTCTCCATCTGTCATGATGATGCCTATTGGTCCAGTGGTAAAGATTTTGTTTTCTAAATCTTGAGATGTAATCCATATTGAAAGCTGTAGTCTTTGATCTTCCACAGCAAGTGATTTAAAATCTTTTTCATTTTTTGTAAGCAAGGCTGAGTTATTTGCATAAGGTCGGTTGTTGATGAGCCTTCCTTCAAACCTAAAATACCACATTATTCTTCATATAATCCAGCTTCTCAGATGATTTGCTCAACATTGAACCAGTATGAGAGAAAAGTCAAAATCCATATGCAAATATCTCCTAATTTTAAACCATGCAGTATTCCCTTCTTTCTGTTTGATTAAATGCTTCTTAGTCTATGTATTGGTTTCACATGAGCACAGTTAAGTGTTCTTGGATTTCCATTCTTTTCTATATAATGCAGTCTTTAATGGCCCACATAGTCATTGGCTTTAGAATCGTTAACAAAATAAGTCAACATCTTCTGGGATGCTGTGCTTCTACCCAAGATCTATCTGACATCAGCAATGGTAGCTCTAAATCCAACTTGACTTTCTGTCAGTTCCATGTCCATATCCTATTCCAGCCATTTACAAATAATTGTCAGCAACATTTTCCTTGCATGTGATATTAATGATACTGTTTAATAATTTCTACATTCTGTTGACTCATCCTTTTTTCAAATTGGACTACTGTGTCTTTCTCTTACAGTCAGTCAGTTTACTTGCCAGTCAGCTGTCTTTAAAATTTCTTCTTGGTATAGAAAAGTGAGCATGTTAGGACTATATCTGGTTTTTGAACCAAAAGAATTGTTATTCTGTTGATTCTGGGCCTTACTTTTTGCCGGTACCTTTAGTGCCCCTGGAACCTCTGTCTTCATTTCCACTGATTCTTATTCATATGCTACTTCCTAAAATGACTCATTGTTGATTAGGTTTTCTTAGTATAGTGACCCTCTGTATTCCATCTTTTTTTGATGCTTACTGCACCATTCAAGATTTTGCCCATGGAATCATTGTATTGTAACTCAGCTTGCGTCTGTTCATTTCTTTCATCTTGAGAAATTCTAAGCCCTTTCAGATTTCTCACTTCAGCTCTTTGCACATTTTGTTATAATACTTTGTTTTGTCTCCTTGAGCTGCCCTTTGAAATTATCTGTTACCTCTCTTATTTGAGCATTTCCTTCCCTTTATTTTGGCCTGTGTTTTAGTGCAGTTTTTAGAATCTCTTCTATATTTTTTTTTAAATTTTATTATTTTTGTGTGCGTGTACCGTCAAATCAGATCTGACTGGTACAGGAGGAGATTGCTCCTCCTTCCCCGGCAGAGCATCTGGTGGATTTGAACCGTGCACCTCTGGGATTGTAGTTGCAGCTTCTTGCCACTAGGCCACCAGAGCTCCCCTTTAGAATCTCTTCTGACATCTATTTAGGTGTTTTCTTTCTCCCCTGTGTTTGTAATGACCTTTTGCTTTTTTCATAGGTATCCATGATGTCATCCTTCAGCTCATCTGGCCTTCAGTATTAGGGTTAAAGGCATCAAATCTATTCTTGAGATGCTTTGTAAGTTGAGATCTAGAGTCTGGTTTCGTTCTTGTGGACTTTATATTGTATACATACCTCCTTTTAGACTAACAGTGCCATTCCAACTCATAGCTGCCCTCTGTTGGCTTTCCAAGGAAAATTGCAATGGAAGGACTGCCCATCTTTCTCTTGTGGCGTCACTTAGTTTTAAATCACTGGAGATGTGAGACTTTCTGTTTAGTAGCACAAGCTAGGCACTGTGCACCAGAGCTCCTTTAGACTTGTACAACTCTGTAAATTGCTTAATGATTGGCAGCGGGAAAGGAATGGACACAAATTTTACTAAAAATAACAAGGCTTTGTGATAGCTTTAGGTCTCCTAAAATTTAGTCCATCTTTCACGTACAGTTTAACTGAAGAATTATCAACCAGCCTCCAGAAGGAAAAGAAAATAAAAAGGCAGGGAGGATGGTGTAGTTAGTTACAATAAATAAGAAACCAAATTCCATCTTACTTCAAAAGAACCATTTGAACTACTAATAAGCCATAAATACAGGCTTTGGAGATGAGCATCATTAGTTTTGTTGTTGTTTTTATGTACTGTCGAGTCAGAACCGACCCAAGCTGACCCTCTGGTGAGTTTTCAGAGGCAGTTAATTACAAGGGAGAATATTGCCTATCTTTCTCTCATTCTCCTGTGGGTTCTTACAGCTTCTTAACACTAGGTCACCAGAGCTGAAGGCCTCTTTCTGCTGGGAAATTTTCCTTGTCCCAACCCTTGGTTAGTATTATTTTGTTAAGTGCTATTATTGCTGGAATTGGTGGTGCTGTGGCATCACTCTCTTTGAAGGGAAAGATGAGCAGCCTCCTGTTGGAGTTACAGCTTTGGAAATCCAATGGAAGGACTGCTATGAGTTGGAACCAGCTCGGTGGAAGTGAGAATAAAAGAAACCTCAGTTTACCCAGTTCTCTGGTTCCTGCCTGTTGCGCAGAGACCAGGTGATGAGACAGTGCTTGTATCTTAAACAATGGCAGACTGCTTCTCTTTTTCTCTCAGGAGTGGTGAAAGGGCATAGGAAGGAGTCTGGGGAGCTGTACTACAGCATTGAAAAAGAAGGTCAACGGAAGTGGTATAAGCGAATGGCTGTCATCCTGTCCTTGGAACAAGGCAATAAACTGAGAGAGCAATATGGGCTTGGTCCATATGAGGCAGTAACACCCCTCACCAAAGCAGCAGATATAAGCTTAGGTAAGACCTTTGCTTCTTGAACCTTTGCACCCCTCACCGCTTGCAGTGGGAAGAGTGGTTTCTCTAGCAGTTGTACTTCCCTAACTTTTGTTATGCCTGTGTAAGACTAACCAGATAATAAGAAAGTACTCGGCTTTTCTGGCCTCTTCAGTTATACCGGGGACTAAACACATCTTCATTCATGGCTAAAACTGGAACCGTGTAAACAATATGACCTTAGAATAGACTTCCTGCCCTCATGGGAGAGGAGATAAAAAATGCTTAATAAAAACAAACAAACAAACAAAGACAACCAACTTTGTTACTTAGATAAGGTTGTCTAGGTTGTTGGGAATTTAGGGTCTTCTTGAGAGTTAACCAGCATTTGGCTTATTTCTCCATAGACAATTTGGTGGAAGGGAAGCGGAAACGACGCAGTAACATTAGCTCCCCAGTCACTCCTACTGCCTCCAGTAGCAGCAGCACAACTCCTACCCGTAAGATCACAGAAAGCCCTCGTGCCTCCATGGGAGTTCTCTCAGGCAAAAGAAAACTTATAATTTCTGAAGAAGAAAGATCCCCTGCCAAGCGCGGCCGAAAGTCAGCCACTGTGAAACCTGGTGAGTGCTCAGTTTTGCTTCATTCCCCCTGTACCACACTGGATGCACCATCAGCTACTGTAGACATGGAGCGCAGTATGTGGCAGTGACCTCTCTGTCCAGTCTACAAAGTTGGGATCTTTTGTAAGCCCACAGATAGAGTAAGCTCAGACACAGCTTACACTACTCTTCCCCAACCCTCCTATCATTTTACTGGGAGTAAATAGGGATCGAGGACTTTTACCATAAATGGTTGTTGACACCTGTATGGGTTTATAAGGGAAAGAGAAGTATTGAATTTTAAGCAAAATTAAAATAAGTAAAATTTGTTTACCCTTTTCTAGCATCATCTGTTCTGTTCTTCCTTATGCTAAGGAGCCTAAGGCTGAAACTTGTTCTTGCACTGATGTGTTTCAACCTGTGGGGATCTCTCCCAAACCCAAACAACCTCTTTCCTGTCTCTCTTTAAGAAAAGAATGGAATCCATTTGTTGTTTATCAAGTCTGTACTGTGACCCACACCTAGATATTTTACCTCCTGGAGAGAGAGGTAAAAAAGGGCTTACCTTCTGCCCTGAAAGACCTTTCAGTGGAATAAATCAGTAAAACTCAGGTGACCTAACACTAGAGCCCCTTTGGTGTCTATGTATTTGAGAATTATCATCTCCATATCTACCCAGCATCTCTGTGGCATTCCAATGTAGGTCAATAACGGTAATAATACTGACATGTATTGACTATTAAGAGGCATGGTGGTACTAAGTGCTTAGTAGATACTACTCTTGTAATCTCTATGAAGTACAGGCGTTAGCATTCCTTTACCAGTTGAATCAAAATAATATAGATAGAAGTTATCCAGCTTTCATAAGATAACAGTGCAAGCTAGGATCCAAGCAAGGAAGCCTGACTTCAACATCCAGGGTTATAAATAGTCCATCATGTTGTCTCTGAGACTGTTTTCCTGCTGCTGATTTTGTTTTAGGGAGGCATGACCTGTGTCTCATCTTAGCCTCCTCCTGAAACTGATTCAGCTCTTCCAGGTCAGCTATCTGTTTTCTCCTCAGAAGACTTACTGGGGCACTCCTCGCATGGTGTTAACGGGAGTCCTGGACTGGCTGGTGCACTTACCTACCTATTGGTGTTGGGAACAGGGAAAACTAGAACAGCCTATTTTGATGTAATTCCATAAAAACACTTTATTTCTAAATATTCATTTCTGGTGGAGGCCAGAGATAGGGTGGGAGGTTCTGTACTGAATCCCCAGAAACAAACAAACAAAAACCACCACAACTTTATTTTTTAAGTATTGTTAAAGGTTTCTTCAAAATATCACATATCCTGGATCTAACAGCATGAAGAAGGCAAAATAGGCCAAAGATTTCCTAATCATTCTTCACTGTTACCTGTTCTTTATATTACAACCATTTCTTTCTTCAGATGACTTTGAGAAGTATTTAATTCGACTAAAGATACTGGCTAACGATGTATATGTATGTACATTGTCATTAATTTAAAAAAAAGAAAATCCCTATTATAACTTTGTGGTGACCATTCAGAATGGCTGACTTTAGGAATGGTGAATGGTTTTTGGCTCACAGCTCAAAAATGTTCATCAGAGACATTGCCTGTAAAGAATCTTAAGCTTTGTGCTTGGGCCTTTGCCCATGCCATGGTCAGTGTTCTTAGAGTTGCTTTACCTCTGTCTGTCCAGGTACAGTGGGGGCAGGGGAGTTTGTGAGCGCCTGTGAGAGTGGAGACAATTTGGGTGAACCTTCTGCCCTGGAAGAGCAGAGAGGGCCTTTGCCCCTCAACAAGACTTTGTTTCTGGGCTATGCCTTTCTCCTCACCATGGCTACAACCAGTGACAAGTTGGCTAGCCGTTCCAAACTGCCAGATGGCCCTTCAGGAAGCAGTGAGGAAGAAGAAGGTAAGGTCTTGGGAGGCCCCAACATATGCTTTTCCTTCCTTTCCGTTCACTTTATAAGCTTGAGTGCCTCTGCCCACCTTACCACCTCCTCATCCTGTGTAAAGGAGGCAGGGCAGGTAGCAGCTGTGATCTTAGTCAGGGTCAAGTGAAGTTCATTTTTGCCCTGCTTCTTGATTTTATAGCCTGTGCTCATAAAGTTTCTTCCATTGGGTCCTGAAAATAATCTTATTCAGTAGATCTGAGTTAATAATTTTACAAATGAAGACATAAACTTAAAGGGATTAAATTTCTTTTTGTCCACAGTAATAGATTTGGGAGTAGAATCCAGTGTTGATTATCCTTTAATCTTCAAGTCGGCCAGGGTTCTAAATGTCCTGTTACGTTTCCTGTTCGGTGGTGAGGTTCAGTTTCCCAGATCTATAAGATTGGGAATAAGAGATGCCTGCACCTCAGGGTGATTTCAGAGAAACAGCTTTTGGACCTTTAGAATTCTTAAACCTCTTCCAACTTTAAATTGATACATTGCTTTTCTTTTACTTAGCATTTGAGTGAAGGCTGCAGCAGTAAGAGGTAAACATTCCAACTGTTCAGAAGTGTATATGATCTAGAAGGGAAAATTAGTAGATAGATCTAAATGAATGCATTATATGCATATGTGAAAAACATTCCAAGGTTTAAGTTTAACTGCCCTGGTAGAATGATATACTACAAGGTAGAATTCTGACTAATGTTGAATCTTTGAGAGAAAATTCAGTGAGGGAACAAGGTTATCATAAAGTAGCACCACTAAAGAGCTATGGTGGTTGACATTACAGGTGTGTGCATGACTCTAACTATGAGAAGTGGTTCTGTGTGGGAGTGTCAAAGGTTAAGCATGTACAGAGCCTTCTTTGTTACACAAAATAGTTAGATATAATGGGTGATACGGTCTGTAAAGATTTTCCTGCCCAAAATTTAGTTTTACTTAATATCATAATAATTAAATAATAATTAATTTGGATCATAAATAATTTGGAGCTGCTTGAGAATTCTACAAAGAGTTATGTAGGTAGATAGATACATACATACACAGATACATAGATACATAGATGGATGTAGGTAGGGAGAGTGTCTGCTTTTCTTTTGCTCTTACAATATTAATGGGCTCTGTTCTCCAGCACTAGTTGTGTCCTAGATTGGGACTGCATAAATTGCATCAAGACAATTTTGTTGGTGCTCCAGTCATGAAAGCAGACTTTGGTCCTCAAATTGTCTAATTCCTTTGAAAAATTCTGAGCCTTTGTGAGACCTAATTACTCATAAAATCCCCTCCATTTCCCTTTACACATCAAATATTTTTAATCTCATCATATTAACTATGAATGAGGGGAGATAGGTCATCTACTGAGGAGGAATTTGAAAAAATTTTTTTAAAAGGATCTCCAGGGTTCTGGTAGGAAATAGTTATGGTGAATGCATCTGCTTTGTTTGGCTCTTTCTGCCTTGGACACTGCCCTAAGCAGCATCAGAATTCTTACATTATTTTTGGCATATGAAAGTAAGAGGTGTGAAGACATCTGTACCAAAACAAGCCTACAGAATTATAGGTTTTAAGGAACTGGGTGACAGTTACAGATAATTAGAAGTCTATGAGATGCTAGTTTATACCAGGAGCTGAGTAAAATGGCATATTAATAAGTTAAGAATATGGCACTCAGTCTTGTGTGAGAAATGCAAGAGACTCATGTGTCACAGGGATTCTGGATTTGTATTTTAGTACCTTCATGCTTGATTTTGATGTTGGAATTAACAACTTGTTCATTGTAGCTTCTGGCTGGACAGGGCTCCTCCTATCTCAAAAGGAAACTAAATTTCATACAAACTAACTGAGATAAAGAAAAGGACTGCTCATGCAGATTAATGGATGACATTTCTATTAATTTGTTGATTAGAGATTAGAATTGAAATAGGCAAGGACTGGGAACAACTAAATATATTTTCTGAGTAAAAATAAGAAGACCATGAGGGAGAGTCAGCTGTGCCTCAGCACTAGTCTCAGTATTAAAGATTGTGACATACAGAAGTTGGTCAGACGGATTCTGTGACACAGCCAAGAATTAGTCCAGCATGTTCTGGGTTTCTAGTTTGGATTTTAATTCTGAGATGGATGTGTAGAATTTAAAGTCAAGGCATCAGCAATAAAAAAATGGACTGGAAATATTACACCTCAACAAAGGTTTCAGAGCCTGTGACTGGGGCCCAAACACTGCCTAAGCAGCTCCAGGAGGCAGGGAGGGCACCAAATTGGGGGAACCAAGCACACGGAGTCTGCTCTACCAGGTTTATCAACAGGCATGGGAAGAGGGAGTCGTCCATGCATTGAACTTTATGTGTTGGATTTCTTATATTTATTGGTAAAATTTCAGTTAAATTAGACCTTAATTTCCCAGAATTCCTAATTAACTAAAATTTCTAATGTTTTGCTTTTCTTTTTCTTTCTTTCTTTTTTTTAATGTGTTATTTATATATAAGAGGAGCAGATGACAAGAAAACAAGCTCAAATTAGATATTTGATCAAAAGAAGCAATTTGTAATTGCCTAGGGTCATTACAGCTTCAGCCTCATCTCTCATATCTTCTACTTCACCCTCAAGACTGTAGAGCAGTCATTGATGTTCAGTGTCCTGAGGTACTTCAAGATCATCAAAGGTAGATAGTTTTCAATCAAAAGGTTGAAATAGGATTTTCTGGCTAACCATTTAGTATCAGCATTAAACTATAAAGTAATATTTTGAGCATTTTAGTTTATCAACATTTTAGTATAAGTATAGAAGGGGGATAATATAGTGATGAAGGGGAATTCTGAAGACTTTATTATAAAAAAGCACTGAGCAGCTATTCTTCATTTTCACCGAACTAGAGGAAATGGGCTATATATAGCAGGAGAGATGTAGGTTAGACATAAAGAAAAACTTTCTGATGGTAACAGTCTTTAGAATTTGAACACATTACTAGGAAGTAGCCCATGATTTGTGAGTCTTAGTGTACCCCATCCTCAAGAACCTTGGATATTTTTAAGACCTAGGACCTACTTCCATTCCTCTTCTTCTCACCCTTCCTATTCTTGTCCCTTCTCTTGGAAGCATTTTCTAGGCCTCAAGACAAATCTCTTTCTGAACCCTGGGGAAGCCCTTGACTTGTCTTTGGGATACTTTGCTCTGGAGATAGTTGGGGAGTGGAGAAGGGAACATAAGAAGCCAGGCATAAAGTAGCAAATGAGAAAATAACTAGTAGTAATTCTTATATTGGTTATCTGTTTGTTTTTTTTTATGTAGAGTTTTTAGAAATCCCTCCTTTCAATAAGCATTATACAGAATCCCAGCTTCGTGCAGGAGCTGGCTATATCCTTGAAGACTTCAATGAAGCCCAGGTGAGGCGTTTGCGTTGCTTCCCAGTGTGGCATTGTTAAAGGCTCATTTGCTGTGCTGAGAAGCAGCCTGATAGAGATGAAGTAGTTGGGGAAAGTAGCCAGGTTCCAGAACTGGGAAATGGCCAGAAAGTTACCGTCTGACAAATTTTTATTGTGTACAGGGCATAGAAACCAGAATCTGGCTTAGTTAAGGGGGAGTGCCTGAAAGTAGTTAGGTATTAATTGCTGATGTATTACTGATTCTTAGCCTGAGTTACATGGGCTTTGATTGTCCCTTGAGCATTGGTACAGTTGTTAAAAACACTTGGTTATGGACCTAAACTTTACTGGCTGCTTTGTTAGAGAAAGTGACAACCTGCTTCTGTAATTATTTGCAGCCTTAGAAACTCAGTGGGACATTTCTGCTTTCCTTTAGGGCCAGTATGAGTCAAAACTGATGTGATAGCAACAGATTTTGAGGTTTTAAACTTCTAGAAAACTAGGTGGAGAGATGTAATTAAGGAAGACACATAGGCTTTTCAGTGAGAAAAGAGGTTTTGGCTTAAGGATAGCGAAGCTTTAATAAGCCTTTGTTTCTGTTCTCTATGGCTTATTAAGGCTCCATAGAATTGCTAAGATCCATCGTGTCTTCTATTTCTAGTGTAACACCGCCTATCAGTGTCTCCTAATTGCGGATCAGCACTGTCGAACTCGGAAGTACTTCCTGTGCCTTGCCAGTGGGATTCCTTGTGTCTCTCACGTCTGGGTCCATGATAGTTGTCATGCCAACCAACTCCAGAACTACCGCAATTATTTGTTGCCAGCTGGTTATAGCCTTGAAGAACAAAGAATTCTGGATTGGTGAGTTTCAGAGAGTTCTTCTGGAACTATTCTAGACAGCAAGCTTTGGGAGTAGAGAGGAATTCAGTGAGAGAATAAAAGCTTAAAAAGTTGGAATTCCTAAAGGAGTGGGTTTGACATTATTTCAGTGTTTATCTAGTGTCGTCCCCCCCCCCAAGATACATTATTAAAGATCTTTTGAAAATGCTTAAGATCTTACTTGCAGATTCAATAATCTCAACCAATAATGTTGTTAGGGTACTAAATTTTAAATGAGGCATTTGAAAACTATAGGCTCAGAACATGATTTAGATCACTAATGGTCCCAGGACAGATAATGCACATGAGGACTGTTGCCTTATATACGTCAGTGATAGGAAGACGGGGGAGTAGTTTGTGTGCCATAACACAAGGCTTGGCTCTGAAACCATTCAGATGTACCTGAGTCCCTTTGTTGGTTATTACTTGTCATATTAATATCCTTCATATTCTAGAGTGTGTCTTTCACTCCTTCATAGGCAACCCCGAGAAAACCCTTTTCAGAATCTAAAGGTACTCTTGGTATCAGATCAACAACAGAACTTTCTGGAGCTCTGGTCTGAGATCCTCATGACTGGAGGGGCAGCCTCTGTGAAGCAACACCATTCAAGTGCCCATAATAAAGGTACCTGGGAAATTGTGATAGAGTATGTGTATGTGTCTGTTTCTTTGGGGGAGGGAGGGGGAGAGAGAGAGAGAGAGGGATTGATTCACAGCTATTATGTCTTGTGTTCTAAATCTCAGCCTAATAAGGCTGACTTCATCCAGGTTTCTTACAGAAACAAATACCACGTTCAAGAGGTGAGCCATTGTAATTCAAGCATTGGCTGCCTCTTACTTCTACTGGTTCCCCGTGATGTATTTGCTAAGCATTTCTACAAAGTCAGCATATAGTGGTAACATTTGTTTTGGTCATGACCATTAGCACTGTATTTAACAAAGAAAGGGCTTTAGTTTGGGTAGCATGGATGTATTGACTGGAAGGCATAACTGTCTTTTAATGGAAGGCTAAATGTGTCTCCTTTATTCACTTTCATTCCTCCATTCATTCTTGCAGATATTGCTTTAGGAGTCTTTGATGTGGTGGTGACAGATCCCTCATGCCCTGCCTCAGTGCTGAAGTGTGCTGAAGCATTGCAGCTTCCTGTGGTGTCACAAGAGTGGGTGATCCAATGCCTCATTGTTGGAGATAGAATTGGATTCAAGCAACACCCAAAATATAAACATGATTATGTTACTCGCTAAAGATACTTGGTCTTACTGGTTTTATTCCCTACTGTTGTGATTGTGTTTTAACCAGGTTTTAAATGTGTCTTGTGTGTAATTGGATTCCTTGCATGAATCTTGTATATAGTTTTATTTGCTGGACTTTTATGATAAAATAAATGTTGAATCTCTTTGGTTGTAGTAACGGACTTTTTCATTTCTTTGAGCTCTGAGGCTTTCACTTGCAGCTTTTCACTTTAGAAGTACAGCTAGTCAAGAAAAAAAATGTCAATCTTTAAAATTTCTGTGGCATTCTAGGTGTCTAATATTCTAGACTTTTCACACTTGATTTTAAAGGGGAAAGGGCCCAGATTGTTATGCTGAAAGCTGTGTGGAAGTGTGCAGTTTAAAAAAAGTCCATCTTTAGACTTGAACAGCTGACTTGTCAATATCCTAATTCTCAGAGCTGAAGAGAGGGAAGGATTAATTGCTGTATTTGGTGGATATCTTAAACTAAGGATAAACATATGTTAGAACACTTGGAAATATTTAAAACTCTAGCCCAGAGGTTTGTTTGGTCCTTCCCTAACCATCGTAGCAGCTTCACATGGCCAACATATTAACATAAATTTGTTTGGCTTCGTGGCCATTTGTTGTTTCAACCACCCACCTTTGCTGTGATAGCCTAAAAGCAGCTGTAGATAAGTAAACTTATTAGTATACCTGTGTTCCTATACAACCATGCAGTTCCTAGTCATTGGTAAACATCCCAGGGAGTGAGAGTATAGAGTGTATGCAGAGAATGTATAGGGGAACACATTCAGTGGCCACAAACTGAGGCCAGTTCAATGCATTCTTTTGGTGTAGGGAGAATTGTTCAGTATTTGTTTTGACGCACACAAACAGGACCTTTAATGGCTACCACTGACAGCTGAGCCACATCAGAACCTCCACTCCTGTTCCACTAAGGTGGAATAACCAGGCTTGTAACCTTGAGTATTTGAAATCAGGTAATTTGACCTCAGATTTTTCTCAGTAACCTTATCTAAATAATTAATTAGATTGCCTTTTCATTAGTCTAATATGTAGTAATTTTCAGGAAAATGAGAAATTATTGACAAAATTTTTGACATTCACAATTTTTAATATCCTTAAGGATGGGAAACTCAAGTTTCCCGAAGGTAGGAAAATAATCTGTGTAGGCATACATGACTAGATAGGTGAGGTGGGTGGGGTGACTAGCAGGTTTTTTACTTGGTAGTGGTAATATCCAACATTTGAATGCAGGTGGTTGTTGTGTACCATCGAGTTGGAAATGACTCATGGAAGGTTTTCAGAGACAAGTTAATCACATGGGAGATTGCCCATCCTCCTCCCACAGAGCAGCCAGTGTGGCCTTGAACCATGTGCCTTCGGGACTGCAGTGCCACTTCTTGCCACCAGACCTCTCTAATGCAGGTTATATATGAGTTTTATTATTAAATCTATAAATGTTAACTGAAACAGGTATGGTTCATACCTAACATAGGTCAGTAAAATCCTTGTCTTAATATATAGTGGACCTTTCTATGCATAAAAAAAATTTCCCAAATTATAATAAATACAGTATTACTGTTTTGATGTGTAACACAAAATTAGTGCCCATCTATTATGTTAGAACTGTGCCTCAAATTTTAAATCCCTGAGGCATGACAGAAACTGGTAAGAAACTTGGATTGTACACTAAGTTGGACATCTATTACCTGGAGACTGCCAGATAAATAACACCTCTTCACAAAGGAATCAGAAGATATTTACCCTTCTGATCCATACTGTTTACAGCTCTATCTTCCACAGCTCAGTAAATTACTGAATAAATGTTACATCCAATAAATGTTCAAAGCGCAGCACAGAGCACTTGCATAGTCAGCAGGGGGTAACTGGCTCAACACATCCTTGGTGGACAAGTTCCAAACTCCCCGGAAATGAGATGTGGCAGACTTTCTACACGAGGATTTAGGGACCAAATTCTACCTCTGCATGTTCAACAATGGCTTCTGAGAGAAAAATTAAGAGCCTTCTCACTACGCTGTAGAGAATCTGGTGAGTGGCTAGACAATACGATGCTTGTTTTGAATCTTTTACAGACTTGGGAACTTGGCACGACTGTCATTTTAGTTTAACTGCCAGAAGTTTCACATCCCGAAACTGTAAGGAGAAAAAAGGTTAATTATCTTCAAGGAAATATGAATCAGTGTGACTTCTGATCTAGAGAGATCATCTTGAAACATAAAAGATAGTTTTTAACTATTTTCCTAAAAGCATCTGAGTAAAAGAACAAGGGGACAAAAGTGCTTTTCTGTATGGAAATGAGAGAAGCAGAGGAGGAAGCTTTATACTGGCACCTACCACTGTCTCTCACAATTGGATTTTTTTAAAAGCTTAGCATTAGCACATTTTTACAGGTGAGGAAGCAGAGAACCCAGTTACTGTAGATTGGGAATAGAAGCCATACTGCTTTATAACCTATCACAGTGTCAGTTGTTTTAATCATGTCCTCTGATGATTTTTACTATAATTGCTTGTTGTTGAATTGATTAGCTTATAGTAATGCTGCAGGACAGAGAACAACCTCCATATTTCCAAGGGCTACACATCTGAAAGATGAACAATGAATGACTGAGAAGACTACTGAATATCCCTTGGACTGTTAATAGACTATTTTGGGAAAAGGATGGCCAAGGTGCAGCTTGGTAGCAAGGATGATGAATTTTATATCATATACTTTGGGAATCTTGTTGAGGGGCAGGGGACTGTAGTCCTTGAAGATAGACATCATGCTTGGAAATGTGGACGATGAGTGTAAAAGAAAAGACCTTCAGCAAGATGGACTGACACTGACTGTACAGTGAGTTCAAGTATAAGATGGCACAAGATAGGGCAGTCAGATCTGTTGTTCTTAGGGTTGCTAAATCACAACAATAACCTTTATGGAAGCAGAGTGCCAAAGCTCTCTCCGCAGCAGAAATGCTGTATTGTTAACAGTACAGTTCACAGCCACTCTGAACAACAGATCTGAACCCTGTCCTCTCCTCTGCCAGCCTCATTATCCCTGACACACTTGAGCCCACAGCTCAGTTGTCACTGTTGTCAGTTCATCTAATAAAGGATCTTCATCTTTCCGTGACTCTCGATCTTTCCAAGCCTAATGCCCCTGTCCAAGGGGCATCATGACTCTCCTACAACATGACCAAAGTATGGGAGACAAAGCTTCACCACCCTTGCCTCCAGAGAGCACTGTGGCTGCACTTTTAACAAGACACTCCTTGTTTTTCTTTGCAGTCCATGGAATATCGACTCACTCATTACCCAGCTCTCAGATGCATACCAAGTAACTGAAAAGACCACGGCCTGAATGAGGCACACCTGTCTTCAAAAACTAACACTGCGTCTCAGTAGTTTGGAGAGGTCCCTGACCATGGACCTGCCCAATGCCAATCTCCTGACTGTTGGTATCAAGGGTGTTGACTGTGGTTCCAAGTAAAATGAAATTGTTACAATTTCAGTCTTTTCTCTATCATGATGTTGCTTACTGCTGACTTTTTGGTTAGCAACTGGGTGCTTCATCAGCATGTCTCCTTTGACTAGAAAATAATCTTCCCATTTCTGGTCTTAAGTGTCCTAATTTATAAAATGGGAGTATCTGGACTAGATTATGACTAAAATGTCTTCCCAGTTCTGGAATTCAATATAAAACAACAGCATTTCCAGGGGCCCCCAAGGTTATTCCTACCTGCCCAGAGTTCCTCCAGCCTGTGTGTAATATTTGTTGTAATCTAGTCGCAGTAGTAGCTGAGCCAAATCTGAGTTGATCTGATGATTTCGAACACTGGAAAGAATCTTGAATAGAAGTGAAGACTGACGACTAAATCCCTGCAAAGAGAAGAACTCTAATCCATCTTAAGCTCACCAATGTAAAATGGGATGTGAGTGCAGCTAGACATTTCGCAGGTACCACATAGCCCTCTCACATTCCCATTCTACTAGCGCCTAGCATGACAACTTCACACAGTCCATAGAATGAATATATGACTTCCTATGAAAGAATGTCCATCTTCACAAATAACTGAGCAGATGATTTCAAATGAATATATTCTGTTGTGTACGGGGTTAGAAGAGAACATGAGTTTTTGTTACAGATAATTATAATTTTGGTGAAATAAGGGGTTAGTCAAGCAAGGAGGCAGGAAGTAAGGAAATTAGAACAAAGCCAATTTCGTGGGCTGAAAAAAACTATTCAAGGAAAAACTATTTTTGAATACTGAGATGGCACATAATTATCTGCTTCAAAATCAAATGATACCAACATTTTCATAATCTTGTTATTTCTGTGTGCATGTTTTGGAGAAATGCTTTATCGACTCAAGAGGGCAAAAACATGATTATGTTGGTCAACCACTTCTACTCCTGACAGGGCTGCAACCCATAAACAGCCAGGCTGACTCACCTTCACAAGAATACTCAGCTGTGCGGCTCCTCGCTCATCCAGTGGACCTAGGTTCTGACTGACCAGTGAACAAAAGCTGTGACAGAGATCTAGGATCTCATTCAGGCAGTGAAACACCTACACAAGAAACAAAGTAGGCCTTAGGGAGGGACAAAGATACATCTGTGAAAGATAAAAATACATCCATTTCCTCTAGATTTTTAAATTTATCAGAGTATGTTGTTGTTGTTGTTATGTGCCGTCGAGTCGCCTGCGACTCATAGCGACCCTATGTACAACAGCCCTAAACTCCGCTCTGTCCTGTGCCAATCACACTGTCTCTGACACTCCCATCCCAATTATCCCAGTCACTGAATCAATCCACCTCATAGAGGGCCTTCCTCTCCTGCGCCATCCCTCCACCCTCCCAAGCATGATGTCCCTCTCCAAGGACCGGTCTCTCCTCACTACATGTCCGAAGTAAGTTAGACGGAGCCTCAGAATCCTTGCCTCCAAGGAGCCACCCGGTTTAACCCTCTCCAGGACAAATCTATTTGTTTTCCTAGCAGTCCAT